CAGACTACACGCTCACACCGCTCTTCTCTGTACAGTTATCCGCCTGTCATTCTGGTTAGCCCATACCAAGGGGAGAAACACTGGACCCTTATGGGAGCTCATCAACAATGAATGTCCTTCACCGTGCGAGGGCTTGAACTCTGGGCATGTGGCACGCGAGGCAAACGTGTTACCGCTGCTCCACCAGCACAGGCTGGACGAGCCTGAGCGGTGTGAATGGTAAGTCGGATGTCTCAAATGTCGACCCTGTAACACCTTGGTTGTGCTGATCGATTGGGCCACATGTTCGGGGTTTGCCAGTCAGGTGGCGCCACAGAAGCTTGAAGTCACGTTGCACTCAAATACGTGCTGTGACTTGGTATTGACTTTATCTGAAATATCTTTTGGAGTATACATATGCATATAGAAAAGACTACCCATTTTACTCTGCCGTAGCTTATTTTAATCTGAGGACAGATTGAAGTTTCTGCAGGATTTGAAGTGCGTAGCTTATAAAGTTCACGAACCATGTCATAGTCATGAGGCTAAAAGTATTTTCCTGATCATTTTTACATGTGGTTATTTTCAACTTCAAACTGAGTCAAAATTCTGTGGTTGCCAAATATTTACTATTAGACGGTTTGTAGTTAGATTGACCTGTTGAGCAAACATTATTTTGGTGCACGCCACCGACTTATGTGAGTCCAATGTGCAATGCGTTACACGTGTTTTACTTAAAAAAAGCTAGACATTTGTTCATTCGATTTTCCAGCTGGCTCCCTTGCCGAATCACCAAATCGTCTGGTTTCAGAGCAAACACCGCAAGGGAATACATTACTTTATGCTGTTAGATCATCAGATCAGACCACAGTCCACTCTCAACAAACAAACTGTTCGATGAATTCGGGTAATTACAACCTGACGGTGCATGGGTCACATCCTTTGGATGGTGAGTTTATCGAAACGTAGACCTTTCTCCAGAGTTAGTTAACATTAACACAAAACATGCGGAAGTAGCAAGTAGAATGCATGCGTGATTAGGCAGGGACTGCAATGAAGATAATCCGATAAGAGGAATAGTGCGGAGGCCAGTGTTGACAACGAATTGGATATGCATTTTCCTGTCAAGTAGCACGACCAGTTTGACGCAACCTCATGCACAGCATGCTACCTGTTTCTCTTTCCTTATTGAAAACGAAAAAAAGTTTGTACTGTGTTTATGACACATATGCACACACATTTCGTATAAAAATTGGGTTATCACCTTGAAAACGATAGAATTATTCAAAGTGAAGGTACAAAATGATGTTATCGGACCAAATGGTGCAAGATGGGGGTATATGGATGGCACAGTTTCGGAACGACATCAAGATTTCGTCATCACTTTTTCGCACGGTCAAACTTATCTAATAGTCCTGGCCTCATGAATGAAATTCAGTCGTTGAGTTCTACTCCAAAAGTGCGCTGAGTGCGCATGTGATCATGGTGGCCAATTTTCTGTTGTTCTCTGATTGTTCGATATAAACGTCACTGCAGTTGGTGCGGTTGATCCTGTGGAAACAGTTCTTTGCCAACAGATCCAGTGGCGTTTAGTTATCGGTCACCTTGCCCGGCCTGTTTCAACATACAAGCTTGAGCTGTACTAGCGATCTGATAATCCAAAATAAAGTTCAGTACTTTGACACACTTTGAGGGATTGTCACACAGGGGAACACGCTGCACACTTACCTTGAATACTTACTAGTCCGCCTGAGTCAAAAGCTGATACCATTCTAGTCAACCAAAACTATGAAAGACAGCAGCGAAGTAAACCTTATTTTCGACACTAAGCGGCGTCTGGTTCTTCAATTTATGGCGAGAATAGTTTGAGCTTGGATGAAATCTGTTGTTACTTTGTTAAGTGAAATCTGGTGATCTTGTTAGCATGCAGCATTTCTTGGCGTTTAAACCCCACGCAAAATTTCACCTCACCGTAGCTAGACAATTAGTCCATAAAGCATATTTTCGTGTTGTGTTAGTAAGCATAACCATAGCCACGCCTCCAACACACCTCAACCTCCTACATAGGAGGGCTCTCATTGTTTATTCAGATGCTGAGGCCATATGGCTGCTTGAAACTAATGTTTGCCTCGATGAATTTTATCAAATATATTGTTCTTCATGTATTCCCGATATTTACCTACCCCGGTACCCTCGTACTTCAATTAAGTTCATGTACTCATCTCAGCTGCATCCACCTTTAAAGCTGCACAAACTTACGCCACTGAACATTTGACAATAATTCCACATAACTGCAGTGGAGTAAATGAGCGTACAGTCTTGTTGTAAGGCTACAATCTGGCCATCGCACGTGAAAATCCAAGCGCCTGACCCACTATACGCGAAGTCTGTCTGAGTTATTCTTAGATGAAGAGAATTATCCTGCCTGTGGGTCTGCCTTTCTTATGATAATAAACTGGTGCGTTCGTAACGAAACTACAGGAATAAGAAAAGTTCAGTAAACGAATTCTCATTATTAAAAAAGTTTAACATCTTCGATAGCACATAGAACTACAAAAAACTGCTTCTTGAATACTACGAAGTTCCTCTTCCTCATCAGCTTAACTCTTCATATGGCAACTGGTTCTTAAAATCATTGTGCAGTGATTGTATTTCCCTTGTTACATGCCTCGTCTTAGATTTCTACATGTGGTTCTCATACCATAGTGTGGTACCACAATAACTAGTTACTATAATGAAAACTGCCATGGCCAGAACTCGAGCAATTTCAAGCCAGCACAAATGGCCTAATTTTATCGGTCTTAATTTGACAATAAAGCAGCACTTTTACGCATTCATTGTAGCGTTTCAATGTTGGGAGTAATTTCTATATAATCTGAACGCAGATTTCAGTTTCCTAGCAAACGTGGTACGGTATCGTTGAAATAAGTATCGAAAAGTCATAAATTTCAAGCTTAAATTCGTTGTTTTTATCAATGCAGAAATGTGCAATCGGTTCGCTGATCAGGAACATAAACTAAGCCATTTATGTGTGAATGATGCTTTTTCGACTACGTTAGCGCGGTATCTCACGAACAAAGCCATACGGTTCGACGAAAACGACAGTTCACTGATTCCACCCGTGCATTTACAACAACTATGCGATGTCTCTTAATAAATATTGGCGTTACTGCCCGATAAGTAAGTCAACCTACTATAACCAACTGAAATTGACGTAGTCGTAAAATCACCGCATATCCACACAACCAAGCGGTATTTCTTTGGGGTTTCTCATTTGTGAAACCCACTGAGATTCATTAAAAAAACTGGCCTAAATCACGAGAGGTGCACGTTCTACCAAATTCTAAATCAGGAGTTATTCTTCTTCAGAACACACGCTGAGAGAGGGAAGGGAAATCGTGTATGTCGGATGGAAATTAGATTGCGAGATGTCATCATCATTTCGTGGAAATTCGGATTTCTCGGGTCGTTAGTTATGATCTGCTGCTCATTACAGTAGCAGCTAGCGTGGACAAGTGAATCCGAAGAAGAAAGCGCCTGATTTCACGGCTGATCCTCGTGATGATATTCAGGATTTTTTTTCAGCTGACTACAAATTTTCGATACAAAGTTTGACCGTTTGTGCGGCAGATGAAGGCTGTAAAACCATACTACCCGACCGATCAGCTGATTTCGCACCTCATAGCAAAAACGCGGCGGAGCCAAATATGAAGGCCAATATTGTTGGAACTCTAGCTGCATTGTAGCTTCTCGGTTTATATAGGACGGTGTATGTGTGTGTTTTATCTGAGAGGAAGTTGTTTAAAATGATTGTCATCTGAGAAATTCCCAAGATATTTGGCCACTTAACACACTTGCGTTCTGCTCTTCATTAAGGCCGCTTTCAGCGCAAACAGACATACTGGTAAACATCTGTGTATCCATTAGTTTGATATGTCCACACATTGAGCGCCTTATGGTGGTGTCTGTGTTCGTCCCAGAGATCTCAACGTCAGAGGGCTTATGTGGGACGATTCATGGTAGACCAACGGTTTCAATAAATAATTCACTATCGGTGGGGCAGGTCAAGTAGTCTACCGTCAGTCGTTTCCATGGTTAGCAGGGCGTATACCCTGACGATTCTGAAGTAATGATCTGAAAAAGCGCACCAGTCAGAAACCGTCTTTAAGTTTTATTTGGCGCCTGGTGAAACTCTAACAACAAGCCTATTAGCTAACCATCTGGAAATCCACCGTCTAGGAATCAGTGCAGTTTATGATCTATCTAAAGTGTTCTAGCACAACTCATTCTCAACCCGGCCGGAAAGTTTTGTTATGCAGACACGTTGAAAAATCTAGAGATAGCGTTTCAACACAGTCGCAACACAGTTGTTCGTATACAAATTCATACATTCGCACACTATCACGTACAGAAAATAAAACATTTCCTTGGATAGCGAATCTGTTAAACTGAAGTCTCTTCTTTTTCTTTGCAGATAAGATTGGTGGACAAAAGTACGCCAGAATATGTTTAAATAACTCACACAATATTTCCAAATACATGTGCGATCTTCCAACAAGTTCCGATATGCAGCTTCTCCATACAGCAGCTTACGGTGTATGCGAGTTCAAGCAGTCGCCTGCACAAACTTCGATTGGGTTACCCCTTGACGACACCGCTGAGGTTATGTTATGTGAAGAAAATCCACTGGATGTGGAGTCGAAACAAAACTCGGCTGTCAATGATTATATACCGCTGAGGCATATATTATCAAAATCGAAATCCGAAGTGAATTCATTGAGTCAGCCATCTAGTTTTGTATAGTGCTTCACGAGTGATCGATGCTTTCACTGTGAATGTCAATGACATGAAGCTGAAAAGACATACATTCCAACAATTTCTTATATCTTGCATATTTGTATTATCAAGTCTATCTTCCTTATTTGACTGTAGATTCTAATTTGTTTTGGGTCGAATTCCCGGTTCAAGCTTGCTAGGAACTCCCATAATACAAGTCGTACTTCCTGTCCGAAAGTTGTTCGTTATTCCAGACTTCAACAAGTCTGTTTCAAGTTGGGACAGTTTGTTGGTAGTGTGTCACAATTAGGCCTAGTAGACTACTTGGTGGGACGATAAAAAGATAATTTTCGCTGTAGACAACCGATTATATAATATAAAGTCCAGATGGATATCGCCGGTGAGGTTGTAAAATCTGTCAGGATAAACCCTCACACTTTTTGTTGGTCCGAGCCCCACAGGCTGGGGAAAAAGACAACAGGCAATAGAATGATCAAAATTTACTTTTTAGTAATGTATGCAGATCAGTTGATACATTTAAAATAAAAAAACATCTATCAAAGTTGTTGATTACTTTGATCAAATGTGATGGTCTTCCCGGAGGAATAATCATCTTTAATTATCAACTATAAACCAGTATTTAGAAATTCGCAGTAGTTATTTTCGAAAAACTGTCTTGTGACGTGATGGAAAGGGGTAAAACGAATGCTTTGGGCTAGCCGGTCGCCCGTTTAAAAAATCTAGCTACTGAGACTGCTAGTCCTCTGTCACTTGATTCATGCGTTCTTTCACATTTCACTTTGAAATCTGGCCACTTTCCCCTCTCATTTCCAGAAATTTACAGCAAAGCCATTCAGGTACCTGGAAAACAATGCGGAAGAGGACTCACTGATGGCACTGATGTACATCACAAATTTCTGTCAAAGAAAAAAGAATCGCATATGAGTGTTTAAGTGGATAAGTCTGGTGATGTGCAGACATTTAAGGTTCCGAATCCAATAAACCAACCCTCCGGAATGCAGGTGGTTTATTGTCCAAGTCCATAATTCGACATGTTTTCTCAACCATACTGTGTGTACTTTTGAATTCTCCTTTGCATATCTACTGTGCAAAAATTTAGCCTGTCTTCTGAATAACAAGTTACTAGATTACAGGCGACATCAGGTCGGTCTTCCTTCCTGAAGCATATTTTGAATGGACCGCTCTATCTCCAGCCCAAGAATGGTCTTTTCATCAGGAAAAACTCTGATAGAGTCAAATACTGTTCTCCAAAACTCACATGATGTTTGGCTTGAGAAATAGAATCTCAAATTTTGAGCCAATTCCCATAGAGACTGATAGAAGATTCTTGTCATGCCACAGCTGAACTCCAAGAAATGGTAGTTTCCTTCTTTTGAGATGCTGTAGAAAATTACACTTCGGGCATTTTTTGAAGCTTTAGATTCAGTTAGTTGGATGAAAAATTGAATTCAACACGCATCCCCGGTTTACCATTGCTAACAACGAACGAAAAAAATCTTCATATGGGACGGAGCTGAAGTATAAAACTCGAATATGTTTCGGAAGTTCAGGGTTTTCGAAAAAATTTCCTGAAACTAGATTTGAAGATAATTACGACGGAGCCCATGCCACCAAAGTAAGTTCACTAGAAAAAGGACCAATGGGAAAACTTCCTATCTCTATAATCCAAATGACGTCAACTCACCCCGGACACGCAAAATTGTCAGAGTGGTGCGTGTCCACTATTTTCTAATGCTGCAAATCTTCAATGTCTTATGAGAACAGAAAGGCTGCTACCTAGGCATCATGAAAATCTGGATTTGCTGTAAATCACCGGTACATGTACCCATACTCTGCCGGTGAAACAATACCTTTGTCATGATTGTAGTGACACTTTAAAAGCCGGATATTATTGAATATAAGTAGACGGAGTGCAAATAACAATAGAAGACAAAAGAGGTAAACGGTAAACTTGCCATGGTGGGGGAGACATGGAAGCTAGAATAGTCATTTTTCACAACCGCCAAATGTATGAATTACAAAGCGAATGGACAATGGGGTTTATCGAATCTGTAAGATCATGAGTTTTATATTTTAAATTGATTATTGCTGTCAGTAATGGAGAACATCAAACCCGGATGAATACAGAGAATAATAGATGGTTTCGCAACTTATCATGAGCAACGCTGTAAGTGGAAGACTTACGAAAAATATGTCAGAGGTGATACAATTAATTTGGCTCCCAAGTCCGTCACAAGGTTATACGTACATCACTGGTAAGGGATATGATGTTTCCCGCGGATATTCTAGAGAATCCGAGGCCTAAAAAAGGTTGTGCAGACATTTCACGACTTTTTTGTATACCGTGAAATGTGATTTCAGTTTCATATGTTTCATTTTCACGAAACTAGTAAATTAGATTACATGGTCAGCCGGCGCTCATCAAGTGTTACTTTGACAAGTATCATTTGTAATAAAAAGTCATGTCATAAAATAAATAGGCTCCTCCGACGAGGGCAAAGTGGAATGCTGGATGCAGGCCTAGTCAACAGTGCTAGTTGGACATGTAGGCGAGTTAAATAATATAATTTTAAGTGTACAAGTTAAAATACTGTTCCGAACCACAGATTTACCGGAGAATGGTTCAAGGCGTGTGAAAGTAAATTCGTATGTGGTCCAAATCCAAACAAAAGCAAAAAGTCCACTGAACGTGCTACAACTACAAAAAAGGCTAGAATAGGTTAAAAAAAAGTTCCTCTGTCAGCTGCTGTCTCATCCCAGATGGTTTAAATTCTTCTTAAGATGGGGTAAATAGTCAAAAACTTCGTACCATTTGACGTTTTCACGTCTGCTTAAGGTTTTGTCTGAGTTAAAGTCTGTCTAGCTACAGCGAGGAATCGCAGCTCGGTTTTACCCAACTAATGACAACTGGTTCGCCAGCAGACTATTGGTTGTAGTCCACTTGCAAAGGCATGAGGTGTTATAGGTGCAGCAACTTTGAATGCAACTAGGCCTTCGCAGAAGTGATCGCGCCATGTGTGCTAACAGAGTTCATCTTATTTTAAGTGGAAAACGGTTTAATAAGTTAGCCTGGCCTCGTGGTTTTCGGAAGACGATACTGAATACGCGTACAAATGAAGATGTCCTCATCGCCAGGTAGCAGCCGTGAACAAGATATGGTGATGGCAAATTTATTCACTTTTGAATGGTGAGATGAATGGATGGATTCGAACACCTATTGTAGACGACGGCTCCAAATATTGATGTACTGATCCAGTGATGATGACGTATTGCCTTCTTGCTCTGTTCGCATGGTGGAGTTTTGTCCACGCAGGTGATCGGAAAAGAGTCCAATGCAAGTGGTGTCAGTACATAGTTATGTGACGCACAGTGGTATAATTGACATGTTTGTGAAATCAGCATTGCCCATCTGTCAAAGGTGTTGCCGATAGAAACACATAGAAAACAGTTCGTTTAAAAATTTAATATTCGTGAACTAGCAATAAATTCAGAATTCAAGAAGAAAAGCAGTACCGAGATTTGACCAGCGAAGGGTTTAGTAGAAATATTCGAACAATTCAGGTGACTCAAGTAAAATTTTCTGGAAGACTGCTGAATTTCTGTCCAGTTCAAGTCAAATTCAAGTAAAGTAACGGGTGGAGTAAAAGTCGAGAGCACTTAGAAATATCGACCTACAAAATAGAGTCAGGGTTTCGAATTCTCCGCACCACGCATAACTGTGTGGATCTTGTTCTGCGGTAGATGCTACAGAAGTAGGTGCACATTTATCCGGATTCACCTGATATTGCCTAGACGTATGATGCATGTTACCGTGAGCAGTAAGAATTCACTAAACATGAATGACGCTACTGTAAATACAAGAAAAATATTTTATTTAATGCAACTTCCTCCTAATTCAAGTCACATATTTCATCAGTTTCAACTCGGGCAAAATCCAATTACTATGATTATACCGCTTTTACGGGAAAGACTGTCTTTAACTGATATTTTGCTTTTGACGGATATTTTCCTGCGTAAGAGCAACTTCAACTTTTGTAGGGTAGCGTTTGAGTTTGTCTCCCTATTCTGGATAGATGTCAAATGGATGTTCGCTATTTTTAACGAATTAAAATTTTCTGGCCCTTTTGTATGCATTAAGACCTCAAACATACTTCGCCTTTCATCATTTCCTAACATATCCAGTCCACCAGTGGTCACTGTCCATTTGTAGAGAAGTGGAAGGATTTAGACTTTAAGACGTAAAACAAGAAAGATAGCAAAGGGAACGAGGACAAAACTGACGACTTTCTGAAACTACACTAATGCAGCATATTCCGAAGTAAGATTAGCTGATGAATGAACACTCTAAAATTGTCGCAAATTCGGCACAAAATACATTTGGAAACGCAACACTTATTTCTGCCAATCTAGAAAGCAGCTTTTAAAAGGTTTGCATTCTAATGGCATTGTTTCTTCCCTTAATGTAGCTCGGTTTTTAGCTACCATTCTTTAGACGTTAAGAATTCGCTTGGAATTCTGCAAATTCAAAATGGGCTAAATAACTATTGCCTGCGCTATTCTCTCTGCCTGGAGAGAGACCTCACGCAAAAGAAATTTGAATATGGTGAGACAGGAGAAAACCCCTGTGAATTTATTTGTCAACGAACACAAAAAAGTGATTACAAGCAAGTAGACACAAAAGTACAAATCTGATCTGCACAGAGGTTTCAACAACTGAATATTCCCAAGCGTCCTCTTGAACGTTCCTGGAGATTTTGAACATTAAACAATTATAAGGGAAAAATGCAAACCTGGACCATACTTTCCGTAGTGACCTTCACCTTCCGGGAGCGGCACCAGGACATCAGACATCATCATCATTAACTTCACAAACTGCTGTAAAAACCCGTCGTACAGTGATGGTAGCTGCAACAGTTTCGTCCACCGATGATTTGGGGGGCAGTTTAGGCGGAAGCTGACAAATTGGTGCCTAACTACATGTCCATCAGTGGACTCTTAAGTGGGCG